GCCGGTTAAGGGTCTTTTAAACAACTTTCAACATTTATGCATTGACAGTTATCACACCAATTCCTACCATCTCCCTTCACATAAATGGAAAACTGGAAAACTATGATTTCCCTAGTGCAGGGGTTGGCAAACTTTTGAGACGGAAGATCCTCCAGGCGTCAGCAAACTGTGGCTCGCAAGCCGCAGACTCTGAAGTAAAATTGAAAATGAAAATAAAACTATCAGTTTCATTTATAAAATTTTTAAAGGACATTATTCACATAATGGTTGTTATGTAAAAATATATTTATGGCTCTCGAATAATTTTTAAATTGTTGTGAAGGACAGGATTGGCTCTTCCAGGAGTGTCGGCAAACTTTTGAGACGGAACATACCCAAAGAGCCGCATGTGGCTCACGAGCCGCAGTTTGCTGACCCCTGCCCTAATGTATCAGTAGGCTCTGAGGGATGATTGCCACATGAGACATAAAATATTGATAAAGCAATTAAGAAAAATAGACTCCATTTTTCTCTTTAGTAAGAAATCGAATTTTAAAGCTATGCTGTATGTTGTTATAAGTATATAGGAATACTCTTAGAGAGTCAACTAATAATTGAACTAGCTTACAAAAACTATTGGAACGCACCTCAAAACCAAGGAGGCATTTTTTAACTAGCATAATTAACTAAAAGAAAATTATGTATACATATATTTTATATTTCAAAATATATGTAATTATAATTTTAGTCATACCATGCAAAGGAAGTTCTAGTAGAACTGTTATAGTTAAACCAATCAAAATTGACATATCCGAAGTTGAAAAATCTGCACTGTATCATAGCAAAACATGACCAGCAAAAGGCGGATGGATAGAAAGGAAGATTAAGGAACTGGTAAAGGGGGGCAACATTTGTCAGTGTTCAGGCAACACTGTCCAAAACAGAGGGACTCTTGTCCCAAAGGTGGTTTCCTCCAGTTCATACAGAAGACAAAGCCAAGAGAGTGCATGGAAACCCTAAACTGCCCTCATGGAATTTTCTCCTTGACTAAATGGATTCATGGTATTTGGGCACCCTTGGCAGCTGTATATCTCACCATGAACTGTGCATATGATATTGGCCTTTTGTTTTATGCATCTCTTTCTTTTGATAGGACAGTCTATAAGCCTTGTCTGAGAGACAATTCTGTGTATTGATCAGGACAGGACTAGACCTTTATTTGATTGGCCAACTGGTCTCCCTTGGCGACATTTCTATGAATACCCTCAACAGACGGCAAAAATATTTATGACTGCCATGATTTTACATTTCCTCATGTCTTGCAAACATGTAAATAAAGTGTAAATATAAATCACTGTGATGAATTTATGATAATTTATATAACCAAATAAGTGTGGTCTTCTTCAAAATTGTCATCTTTATTAGTATTTCATTATATACTTATAATTATGCTCCTGTGGCTCAAAGCGCTTAACATTTCTCTTCATTAGGAAATGTCTTTAAAAGTTGCAATACATTTTTTTCAGTGATAATTCCTAAACTTAAGTAGCACTTGGCTGTTAAACAAAGCAAATTATGATGAAAAATATTTATACTTTCAGGGTGCATTTAATTTTGAGATATAGTCAAAAGTCATTTAGAAGTAAGTCCAAGTGACCAGGTGTCTTGGCTAATATTACTTTTAATCTAAAGCAAGCTATTATAAAATAATGGCTAGAGAGTAATGAACTACTTTATATGTATGAGAAGAAATGTATATACTGTGTTTAAAGGTAATTCCATAACAAGAATCCAAAAATACTTTGATCAAAGGTAGACTATTTAGAGTAAGAGTTTAGTTTTTAATGGTAGCTATTTTGACACACCACACCTATTCTGATGTATAACTTTTGGCATATTTGTTTAAAAAATCTTTCATTACTTTGTGTCTAATAATTTACAAAAGTATCTTAAATTATCATATTAACCTGACACTTACAATATGCTATCCTTAGCTGAATTTCCACCTTAGAGCCTAACATCATTTACTCTTTGGTCTTACTTGAGACTTACCTGTGGAGCTTATTGGGGCCCTATATCCAGTCTTGTAAGAAATCTGTAGCATTGTATATTTGGATTTTGTGGGGCTCTAACAATCCCTCAATTATAGATCTAGACTTTTGGTAGGGATACCATAACCAAAATTCAACTGTGTCATCTGACATACGATTTGATAGACAATCTCACAACTAAACAGAACATGGAAAATTCAGGGCATCAGAGAAGAGACCGAGAACAAGCTGAATAACTACTTTAAGAGTTATCAGATAATGTAAATTTGGAAAATTGCTTAAACATGAGAACCAATCTCTGTAGGTAAATATTTGTAAATCAATCCAATTGGTTTATGAATCATAAATTCTATGCAAATATATCACCTCTAGTTAACATCTTCCTATTTTATAAAAGGTTTAAGTTAATGTACTAGTTTTCTTTGATATTCATAAACTATTTGAAGTTTTGTGTGAAATTCTCTTTTAGATTATATTATATTAGATTATATATATTAGATTAGATTAGATTAGCATTGTGACACTTCGGATGGCCTTCAAATGTTGTACTTGATATGAAGCCTATGCAAAATTAAGAAAGTCCTTAAATTTCCCCCAAACTTTATTAACTTTTCCAACAACAAAACTTAACAATGAAAGATATTTAATATAACCTATAACCCGGATCAAAACAGCTATACTATTTTGACTCTGAAACTGAAGGGGCCATATTCAGAAAGTTAAATTCTAAATCATTTAACAACATATGATATAGGCATATGACTTCTTTCTTGTATATCTGGTATGTTAGAGGAGATTCTACCGAAATTAAATTCTCATACAGGTCCATTCATTGCATATATAGATTGATAGTCACAAAATTATATTCAACAAAGATGAATTGAGTAGATTACATAAACAAGGCTCATGGTATTGTAAAGAATGCAAAAAATACTATGGTAATTGTTAATGTTGACAATGATATAATAATAGCAGTTAATATTTATGGGCTAAACACTTCACATAAATATTTTCTCAACAGATTAACCCCTATGACATAGATCCCACTAGTCTCCAAGTTTTAAAGGTCAACTCACATAAACACAGAGATGTTAAGGGACTTCCTTAGGTCACACAGCTACGAAGTAGCAGATCCAGAATTTGAATCAAAACCATCTAGATACAAAGCATAACACCCTTGACCACTCATGCAGAAAATAAGTTTGTTACCCTTTCAGAATTAAAACCCAAAAGGAAGTTTATAATTACTGGTACTTTAAGTGACTGTCAGTTCCTATAAATAGTAGGAACTTAACTTTTTTAAATACACCTATTCTTACAGCAATTTACTATGAAATAGTTTGGAGAACAGGAATGTTCTTAACAAACTTAGTAGCCATTACAATACATTTATATATATATATATATATATATATATATATATATATATATATATATATCAACCTAAGAGCATTTTTAAACTATACTAAAAGTTATAATGTGATCTGTTGGGGGAAAATAAACTTTGATAAATCAACAATTTCACTTAAATAAACAATTGGCTAAGTTAAAGTTCCTTAGTACTTAGAAGTAGCCATGGATACTCATTTGTCTGAAGACTGCATTTTTAGATTCATTGACATTTAGGTTCTTCAAAGTGCTCTACAAAAAAGTCTACAATGAATGTCAACGAGCATTCTGTTTTTGTAAGTAGTAGGAAAATACATCAACAAATAATCCAATTTTTATAGATGGAGTAACAAAAGGTGCTGAAAACATCAACAAAAGGTAATTCCAAAATCTCAAGTCCTTCTCTCACATCCACAGGGAGGAGCTCTCCCCCAATGACCAGTGATCTCTCCTTAGTACCTGAGCTCCAGGCTCATGCAGGGAGCAAAACACAGAAAGACCTGAAAGCTGAGTGCCTCTCGCCCCCCCATATCCTCCCCTCCAGGTGTGTTTCTAAGATATTTGGCTTTTCTGATACCTAAATATGTCGATTCATTGGATAATTATGAGTCAAGTAATAGCCCATGAGAGATCTGTACCTATTCATTCATTCATACATGTATAACAGGAAAAAAGCAGGTACAGTACGCAAAGAACACGTCAAATATGAAATGTTACATTTAATTACATTTTGCCTAAGATTCTGAACTTAGACTCTATTTTTAAAACTCTCACTAGATAAAGTTTGCAAGCCTTTATGGCTCATCACATGCAAAATAACATAAGTGCAATTTATTGTCAGTTGGACATAACTTCAGTATCTAGTTCCATGGCTTCACATTTCCATGGTAATTTTGAGCCCCCTTTTAAAATTTACAGCTTGTGGAACTGGCTTTTTTGTTGGTTGGTTTGTTTTTAAGTAGGTATTGCAAGGAATTTGCTTTCATTCTTAAAAGAAAGACACATGGACTTGCAGCAAATACTTTTTAGACTCAGTATCATAACAATAAAAACTTAATTTAAACACATAGCACCCACTACACACCTCTTCCCTAAAAAAGTTCAAAAGTTCAAATTTTGGCAAATGTTTCCTGAGCACCTACTACACCCAGGCATGGCACTGGCAGCATGTATGCCAAGAAGATATCTAAGTTTCCAAGACATGAAGGGGAAAAAAATCAAAGGACTACTCTTAAGTATTTTTATTAACAAGTTTATAATTCATACACTTCTTGGAAAAATCTAAGAAAACAGTTGCACAATAGCAAATTTGGGTCTTGAGAGCATGACTTTCAGTTGTTGGTTAAAACTCCAATGTTAAGTTAAGGCTCTCTATTCAAACAATTGACTTCAGTTTATTCTTTCATGCCTTCTTAATGTTTTCGAGTTTATTCCACAAAATCCACGTTCTCTTCCATAACAATGAAGGCTAGCGCATCTTTTTAAAAACTGTTCCTCTTTCCCCCAACCCCAGTCCACACACAGGCCCTCCTCTTTCGCCGGCACGTGTCCTTCCAAAAGCTCGGATGGACACCCTCTCACCTGAAAAAAACTTTGGAGAAGACGCTGGCCTTTTCCAGAGGCGACCTCTGCATGGTCTCTGCGGACGCCGGGGTCCCTGCCGGGGCAGGCTGCGCTCGAGCTCCTAATGCCAAACGCCCCACTCTCTCGGTGCCTGCCGCTTGCCCCTTTTTCTTTGACCTGCCGTGATGTCACTTGCTCCAGTTCCCCCCACCCCCCACCCCTCTCCCACACACCTCCCCTTTCCTCTTGCTCTTTTCCCCGCCTCCACTGCCCAGGTTAAAAGCCGGGCACTGCCTGGCCCGGCCCCACATTCGCTCCCGCGACTCTCTCCACCCCCCTGCGCACCGCCTCCCGCACCCCGACCGCTCCTTCCTTCTCGCCTCCTGCCCTCCCTCTCGGGACTCGACCGCCCGGCCTTTCTCCCTCGCGCGCGCTCCTTCCAGGTCCGCGTCTTTACCTTCAGCCCCAGCCCAGACCGCAGGTGGGGGAACAGTCGCGGCCGCTGTCCAGGTGCAGCCACCGACGCCCGAGGACAGAAGGGGCCCCGGCAGGAGCAGAACCAGCCCCGCTCCCGCCGCGTCCCCCCAGGACCCTCCTACTGCAAGCTCCGCGGGACGCGGGCTCCCGCCGCCAACTTCTCCGCGCGTTCCTCCTCCTCCCTCTTTCCGAGATCCTAGCCGGGTTCCTGTTCCGTTTGCAAGGTGCATTTCGAATGAGGAACGAAAATACCTCTCCTGTGTCAAAACGCAGCCTTGGAGAGCCGGGAAGTTCCGCGGCAGTGGCTGAGGTGTTCACCTTAGCGCTCCCTTTGAGTGTCAGGGAAGAAGGAAGTTTTGTTAGTTTCAGGCTCAGGTGAGCTGCATGTGTGGCGAAGACCCCTTAGGTGACGTACTTATGCGGGAGGTGGGGGGAGTCCTACTGGCAGGTAAGAGGAGCTATCCCTTTGTCCTTTACCCACCCAACCCAGGATTGGTTCATTGTCCTAAATTTTCTGTCCGGCTTGCGTTTTTAAGTAAAGCTATTGTGTGTGTTAGCGACTACAATGACATGTGGGCAGTGTGTAAAGGGACACGCCCTCCTATAGATTTCCTAGTCTCGGTCAGCAAAACATCTTGACTAATACGCTGGAAAGAATGCGAACAGTCTTTGAAGCGAAGGTAGCGTGTTAGCTCTGACCTGACTCAAACGCCGTCTTCCACTCGTCAAGGGCATCTCAGCGTTCCCAGGTGCGGGCGCCTCAGTTTCCCCCAGGTTTGGCTGAGGAGATTGTGTGACTGGCTAATGGTTTTTAAAGAGCCAAGCCTTAAATTCCCGAATCCTCTGTGTAAAAGCAAGGATACACTGAGTTTAAACTGAAAAGTTCAAATGAAAGTAAGAAGTTTGGTCTGATTACTTCATTGCTTCTACATCTAAGGCAAGAGTATTTCCTCGTGAGTTACCTTATTGTTGACCTGTGGTTATCCAAATACAGTATAAATAAAAGTGCATTTCATAATAATAGACAAGAACATGTATTTAAATTGATGCGTGCAGCAGGTTTTTATAGCTCCAATTTGCATTTCAGTACCACTCTCTATCTTAAAGTGGGTTTCATAAACATTTAAATTTTATTTTTCTAAATTATAATAGTAGAGAAAATAGGAGCAAAGAGATAAACCAAATTGCATGAAATCAGATACCAGGAAAGAGCTTAAATATTTCTAACTCATGATCCTTCCTTCAAATCCTGTCCCCGCGTTTTCCTCTCTCCAGTATGACATTCAAATCAGAGTCCTGTCGGTATTATTGACTTTTCCCAGGTACATGACTGAACTTCCCCACCCCCACTCCGTTGTTTGCTTTATAACTGCTAGTGTGACCCATCAAATATAATTCCCTTTTAAATGAATATGTAATCAGTTCCTCTTTGTTACCAAAGAGCAAGTGACAATAAAGGGATTACAAATTAGTTCCAAAGATCATAGAAGCTGACCAAGTGATGTGGATCAAAGACACCCCTAATATCTGTCAATCGATCTCCTTCCTCTGGAAAGAATAAATGAAATAGTGATCATTTCTTGATTTCTTAGTACTTGCCAGGCATCATCTCATGTAAACCTTACAACTATGCAAATAGGTGTTATTCTCCTCCATGTTCAGTTCAGGAAACAGACAAGAAACATTAAGTAAATGCCTGTAATGGTAGAGTTAAGGTTCTAATTCCAAAGCATCACTTACTTGTATCTGTGCTATTGCTTCTAACAAAACCCTCCCTCATGTATCTATTTTCGATCAGACACCAACCCAGCATTTCCCCACACATTAGTGTCATGAAATCAGAATTGCTAGACCTGTTCTAGAATGAGGCAAGAAAGCAGAAATCTACAAACTAAGTAGCTACTGGAGCTATTTTTTGTAAACAACATTTAATTTTAATGTTCCATTTTAGGTGTGTGTACATAAAAGATCTTAGATTTTTATCATAAAAGATTACACTCCGGGCCAGCCAAGTGGCTCAGTTGGTTAAGAGTGTGAGCTCTGAGCAACAGGGTCGCTGGTTCAATTCCCACATGGGCCAGTGAGCTGCTGCTGAGCTGCCAACAGGTGGCAGGATTGCTCAGCTGGTGAGTGCACATGCTCCTAACAACAAGGTGGCAGGTTTGACTCCTGCATGGGATGGTGGGCTACGCCCACATGCAACTAAGATTGTACATGGCACCTTGAGCTGAGCTGCCCTGAGCTGCCATGGGGCAGCCGGATGGCGACTGGACTTGGAGCTGAGTTAGCTCCGCCCTCCACAACTAAGATTGAAGGACAACAAGTTGGCTGTTCCCCTTCCCCAATACCCCTAACACTGTTCCCTTCCCCCAATTCCCCAATAAAAATCTTTAAAAACCCAAAAATGATTACACTCCAAATTACACTCCAAATTTGTTCTTAGCATAAGTAAGACTTCACCATTATTCAGAATGTTAACACTGTGAGCAGACATGAACAAACAAACTAATTGAGACATGATATTCAAGATTTGCACGTAGGTACAATTCTCATGTGGAATGGAGACTTATGCACCAGGAAAGTGTTCAAACAGAGTTGAAAGTCATGACTGAAATCCTAACTGTGGCTTCGAGATGTCAGGAACAGGAACAAGATCAATGGGCCGGATGAGAGTAGAAGGTGGTAGTAAGAAAGAGTGAAACTCTTCTCTCCAAGCTACTCAAATATCAGCTCATAAAGTTTGATTATACTATTATGGTGTCTTATATTTGCTGAGCACTTACCATATATGCCAGTAAGTGCCATGCCCAATACACAGCATGCATTGCCTTTCTTAATCCTTATAACACCTTCATGGGACACGTACTTTCTTCATTATCTATATGTTACAGGTAAAGAAGCTAAGGTACAAAGAGTTTAGTCATTTTCCCAAGCAATTTGCACAGTAAATAATAACAGAAAGCTGATATTTGAACCTAAGCAGTCTATTGCCTGAGCCAAGCATTTAACCCCTACACATAATTCCCCTACAGAATTTCCTAATGTTTTAAGCAGAACTGACCTTAAATATAGAATATTAGGTTGCTATTTTTATGGCATTTTTTATTGTGGTAAAATACACATCACAAAAAATTTACCATCTTAAACCATTTTCAAGTGTATACAATTCAGTAAAAGTCACCTTCATAGGGAAGAAAAGATCATAAAAAAAGGGAAGTGCAAAGTCTTGTCAGCTTCAGGTGGATAGGGTGGGTCTGCTCATAAACTAATCTAAACTGGGAGGCTAAAAGCAGCCTAGGCTCTTCCACAGCCATGGTCACAGCGAAGGATGCAAACATATATTACAGTCTTACAAAGATGTTTCAGACCCAGAAGGGTATGTCCCGACACACAATTAGGTCAGATTATTGTTTACTTTTAGTTCTTCCAACCTTATGTTTGTTCTGACAATTCTGTGTATAAACACACATGCATACACACTTCTGTTTATATACATACGTAATCCTTCTTCCTTACAGCCTCCTTGGAGACAGGAACTATGTCTTCTGTTTTCCATTCAATTCTCTTATTTAGTAATACAGTGCATACAATCAAACAGTTTTCTTCTGGGGTTATTGACCCCAGTAGTTGAAATATTACAGTAGTTGAAATATCACCCTAATGGAGAAATCTGAAGATGCTCAAGAGAGGAACTGTTACCATTGATATTTCAGCAAGCAGGAGCTCGGTGCTCAGGTGGGAATACAGAATAAGGCAAACTCTCCACCCTTCAAAACTCAGAATCTAACAGTGGTCAACAAAGATCTCTGAAGATGGCAGTAGACTACAGTGGAAAGAGCTTGGGCTTTGAGGCAATAAAGAGCTAGGTTTTCAATCCTGGCACCACCACTTACTTAGCTATGTGGTCTTGGGTAGGTTACTTAATATTTCTGTATCTCAGTTCCCTTTTCAGAAAATAGAGTTCATAATACCCACCTCATGCATGGTTCAGTGGCTAAGACAACAACACTGTATTATAATCAATAAACTTGCTACAACTTAAATATTCCAACTCTTAAGAAAGGATAATTATACAAGGTGTAAGGTGATAGAGGTGCTAATTAGTACAACGATGGCAATCATAGTACAATATATAAATGTATCAAATTAACATGCTGTACACCTTAAATTTACACAGTGTTATATGTAAAATATATTTCAATAATAATAACATAACATTAAGAATAATAATAAATACCCACCTCGTAGCATTGTTGAATGGATTAAGTCAGGGTCTTTCTACCTCAGCACTATTGACATTTGGGGCTGGAAAATTCTTTGATGTGGGAAACTGTTCTGTGTATTGTAGGATGTTTAGCAGCATCTCTAGTGTCTACCTACTGGATACTGGTAGAACTAGCCCCCATCTCCTAGTTGTGACAACCAAAACTGGGTTTCCTGAGATTGACAAATAGCTTCTAGGGGGCAAACTTGCCCCCACTTGAGAATCTGTGGATGAAATTAATTTTGATGCATATAACAGACACAAAGGGCTTAGAATCTAATAAGTACTCAATAAACTTTAGAAATTATCATTACATATCACTGGCAATAAATAATAAATCAGTGTAGCATAGCAAAATGGATTTCTACAGAAAACTGAAACTTTTAAAGGCTGTCAGAACTCACAGAAATGTTAAACTTTTTCATTCTCTCTGAAGTTATTTGCTTGTATTTGGACCAGATGAAAAGCGGGAAATTCAGGTACCCTTCCAATTATAATTTTGATTTAGAGACAGAACTAGATTTATATATGGATTTTTATATTTTTATTTTACTCCTTTTGCATAGAAATGACATTTGAAAACTGTTTTTCAGTTCCTCTAATTTTCAGCTATACAGTGGTATAGTCTTAACATCTATGTCCAGGTGGAATTTGGCACTCTGATGGGTCTTTTGTAACTTAAAGGTACTTCTTCGTAAAGGAAATCTTAAAGATTCTCGATCTGTACAAAATGGGTGCTTATTAATGCTACTAATAACCTGGAACAATTATGAACAATATTCATAATACAACTTTATCATGAATATAAAAACTAATAAATCTGAGATTTTTCTAAAACAGCTATTAATGAAATGTTTTATTATTTGTATTGGTTCTCTTTACATTTTCTTACTGAAGCTTTTTGGGAAATAAGAGAATTCAAAACACCAGGTTAAATTTTCACTGGTTATATCATGCTGAAAACCAGATGCTACCTATAGAATAAAAATTGTGGTTTTATAATTTGAACTCTAAGAAGAAAAGTGATTTTTTTTTCAGATGAATTCTATACTAATTTATATGCTACATAGATGAGTTACATTTAGAAAGATAGTGGAATACAGTAAAAGGA